AAAAAAAAAAAAAAAAAAAAAAAAACACATCTTAGTAAAACCAATACCTTCTCAGCTTCGCATCGAAGCTAAAAGTAAAAGGTATCTATGATAGTGATTCAAATATTACACTTGTTAATCACTAGATTATAATCCAATTAAAAACAAAATTTTTTGAAAATCATAGTTTGTTTAAAACAATAAGTGGAGTAAATTTTACCAATAGCCGGGCACGTTTGCATTTAAAAATTAATAAAATTGAAAAAGTTTTAAATGTATATGCTATAAAAAACAATAATTTTTCATATGATTTATTACTTGGTCTAGATGCTATTAAAATATTTAAATTGTCACAGGATGAAAATTAAAATATTTTTCAAAAAATGAATGAAAAGAAAGTGAATTAGTAAATTGTCAAGAAAAACAAAAGAATGATCTACAATTAAATTTGAATGAATATATTGATGTTAGTATTTTTGAAACTAATTTACAACATTTAAATGAGAAAGATAAAATAATAATAATGAACCTTATTAATAAATATAAAGTAATTTTTGCTAAGAATAAATATGATGTCGGTAGAGTTAAATGTGAAGAAGCACAAATTAAATTAACAGAAGATAAATATATTTCAAAAAAACCATACAGATATTCAATACCTGATCAAAAAAAAATAGAATCGCAAATTACAAATTTATTAGAAGAGGGTCTTATTGAAGAAACTAATTCTCCTTTTGCAGCCCCAGTTACACTAGTGTACAAAAAAGAAGATGGTTGTAGATCTCGTTTATGTATTGATTTTAGAGAATTAAATAAATTAGTTGTTCCTGAGCCACAGCCATTTCCTCGAATTGAAGACATAATGGTGAAGGCAGGAGAATGTACCTGGTTTTCAGCTTTTGATATAAATTCAGCATTTTGGTCTATTCCAATTAGGCATAAAGATAGAAAGAAAACAGCGTTTGTGACTCAAGACGGACACTGGCAATGGACATGCTTACCTTTTGGTTTAAAAATATCCCCTGCAATATTTCAAAGAACCTTAGCAAATATATTAAGGAGATATAATTTAAATGATTTTTGTATAAATTATATAGATGATATTTTAGTTTTCTCAAAAACATTTGAACAACATGTGAAACATATAGAAGCTTTATTACAAGCAATTAATGAAGAAGGCTTTCGATTTAAATTGTTGAAATGTGATTTTGCAAAAAATTCCTTAAAATATTTGGGACATAAAATTGAGAAAAATTCAATTACACCTTTGAAAGATAACCTTAAAGCAATTAAAGATTTTAAGGAACCAACAAATAAAAAGAATAGTAGACAATTCCTAAGGAAAATCAATTTTTACTATAAATTTATTCAAAATGCAGCAATACAATTGGAACCGTTACATAATTTACTAAGGAAAGATGTAAAATTTAGTTGGACAATAGAGTGTCAGCAAGCATTTAATAATATGAAGAAATACCTATGTTCAAGCCCAATTCTATCTATATATAGCCAAAATAAAGAGGTTTTTATTTATACTGATGCAAGTGGAGAAGGTATAGGAGCAGTATTAATACAACCTCAGGAAAATGGTATTCTCCATTCGGTTGCCTATTTCTCAAAAAAATTAAACCCCAGTCAAAAAAAGAAAAAAATTATTTATTTAGAATGTCTAAATTAAAAGTTTTTTCTTGAAGTTCATTTGGCACTATATAAGACTTTACACCAAATAATAGATAAGGCGGTGAAAATTTTGTTACACTATATGTTGTATTGTTGTATTCCTCTACACATTCCTCCGCTATCTTAGACCATGCTTTTTTTCTAACTCAAAAAGAATTAAGAAAAAATTCAGTGCCACAGACGTGAAAGACCCAAATGTTACCATCTCAGAAACCGTACGTCGCATTCGTCACTTAATAAAAATGGAAATAGGCTAGTTCAAATTTTAAAGTTATTTTTCTCGACTTCATAGAAACAAAAAAATTTAAATATGATTAATTTTTTATACTATATCATTTAGATTGATATAATATTTATGAAAATCAGTGTAATCCCCTTATAATAAAATAAAATACAAAACCAAGAATTTTAACACAATATAGAATATTTTTAAATACGGTAGCTATTTTCACTATGTATTCTCCTAATAAGATATTTTAAAATAAAATAAAATACAAAACCTAGAATTTTAATAGAAAAATAGCATTTTTTTGAATACGGTAGTCATTTGCGCATAGAAGATAGGTCGTCGGCACAAATTTTTTTTTTCATTTTATAGTACATAAAATAAGCTTTAATTTAATATATGTTTAAAGGACGTAGTATTTCCGGAACATTTTCAAAAATTAAGTTGAAAAAGTTAGTTTTTGTAAAAATGTTGCTATTTTAAATCCCCTTTGTGAGCAGGTTAAGTGTTAGATTTTCAAAAAAATGATATTAAATGAAAGGAAAATATCTAAGGTTTTAGTAAAAAGGAATTATGTTGATTTGATTATTTTGGAAAAAGTTATGGCAGTTTTAAGAAAAATAAAGTGAAAAAAATGACAAAATTTACTGATTTTTAAATTTGTAATTTTTTTGGATATTTCTCCCATTTGCGGGGAACGAGGGAAAATTTTTCAATTTTTAAGGGTAATGTCTTCAACTAGATACGATTTGTGATCTTTTGACGTATTTTTGAAAGAAATCGGTCCAGTGAGAGCTGAGAAAAAGTGGCAACAGACATAAAAAAAAAAAAAAACACATCATAGTAAAATTAATACCTTCTCCGCTTCGCATCGAAGCTAA